GGGAGTTGAAGCCCCCCCTCTTAAAGTGGCCAGGTTTGAGCAACACTGCTACAGTCAGGCTTTTTCCCATCTGGGGGTGGGGGAGTTGCTCCTTGAGGTCTCCTCCTCCTCCCCGGGCTGCCCCCTCCTTCACGGGGAGCCTGGTGGCCCCAGTCTGGGCCACAGCTTGCCTGCTGCCCTGGGATCCAACCGGGCCCTCCAGTGGGTGCAGCAGGAGGGGGGTCCCACATACAGCAATTGGGTGGCCCCCAGCCCTTTCTTGGCCTTAGGAGCGATCCCAGGGCAAATGCAAGGGGGGCCTGCCAAGAGGTCAGTAAAGGTACGTCCCCCTTGCCCTCACTTCGCGTCGGGGGACAGAGAGGCAAAAGCCACCAAATTTTCCCTTTTGTCTCTTTGATCTCTGCTTCTTGGCCTCTTCCCCATCCAGAGACTTCTGTAAATGCTGTTCACTTTTTCTCCTTTTATTCTCCCCCTTCCTCCCCGCTTGAAGAAGCCAACACTTTTGTTCCAGGGGACGATCTATTTTCATGAGGTTTTTTGTGTGTACCGAGGGGAGTCCTCACAGGGTGTGAGCTAAAAGAGGCAAACAACTGATGTGTTAGCAGCCAAGGGGGCCAAATGGGAAAGAGGTCCCACCTCTACAGACTCGTCTACTTCCTTTGTTGGAAATGATGGTTAAATGTGTGCCGGAGAGGATGCATTGACCTTTCTGAAGAGGTCAGGTTTTGCATGGGTGTATTCATTCTGGATTCAGGTGCTGATGCTGGCAGCCATCCAGTTTCAGGCAATAATTCTGTCATTTCAGCGGCATATTTAAAGGGTTAGCATTAACAGCTGTGCGGTGTCCGCTGGTGAGTGAATTAGTCAGTGGCTTTAATCCAGTATGGTTAAATCTGTAAGAGGGTATCACACAGACCCTTTGCAAATAAATCCACTGGAACCAGTGCCTTGGGTGAACAGGTCTCTGTTTAGCAATGCACAGGTCTTACTTATTTCTAAATCACCTTTTATCTTTCATCACACAGCAACTTCCGTATTTCAGAGATGAGGAACCCGTGTTCCTTTGCTTGTTGCTCAACTACGGTTCTCAGCGAGTGAGGCCGGTGGTGAGGGATGTTGGGAATTGCAGTTCAGCAACATCTGGAGTCTATAAACTCCCCTGTCTCCATCCTCTCTTTGATTTTCTGAGCAGCATTCTAATTTTTCATACGTTACTTTCAAATCTGATTAAAACTGAAGAACAGATGCTGGTGTTTAAAGTAGGATACCTTTTCCAAACAGACATTCTGTGGATATTTTGCAGTTTGTATCAGACTCATCCAGCATATCCAGTGGGCAGGCAGAATGGAAATTGTGATTTAAAACATCTGGTGGGCACCAGACTGGAAAAGGCTGCAACTAGAGGGCTCTTGTTTGTTTTTTTAATCCCATCTTAGGAAAAAAATGTCAAAATGATTCCAAGTTGTCACGGGAACCAGCCAAGTGCTCCACCACAAAAAGGATACGTAGCAGGAATGTCCTTCAGATTAAACAAAAAAACAAAAAAAAAAGTCAATAAAAACAGCTGTGTGCATTTCGCTGAGCAAAGCTCCATATGGTGCCTTCTTGTGTAGTAACTAATTTGCCTCTGGTAATTGTGCATGGATGTCCGCTTGAGTAGTGCTCCTGAGGACTATAAAAGCCGACAACCGTAGGAGGGTGAACTGGTTGCCTCACACCACATCTTCCACTATGGAATGAGGACGAGTTCAGTTGCTGCGCGTGAAGTGGGTTGTCTTGTAGCTTCATGGCTGGAGTTCTGGGTTCTGCATGCTACATCAGTGGACTCAGCCCTGGCCGATTTCTCCTCCAGAATGCTTCGGATATGCCAGAGACCATTACCAGCCGAGATGCTGCCCGTTTTCCCATCGTCGCTAGCTGCACCCTCCTAGGCCTCTATCTCTTCTTCAAAGTAAGTAAAGCAACGGGGGCCCTGGGCGAGGCTGCTTTCTTTTGGTTTTTAGTTAATCCAATAGTTTTATCTTGTGGCCAGGAAGGGACTCTGGTTCCTCTTGTAGCTTGGAGTTGGGAGAAGCCTTTCCTGACCATCTGTTGGAAAGAAGTTCCTAGTTTCTGGGTGCCAAACATGAGCCTCATGTCTCGACTGCTGGGTCTGGTTTGGTCTGTCACGTACTCGAGGCACTCGTTTCGTTCTGATGAATACAGCAGCTGTTTTGTTTCCTAGAACTCAAGGAAGCAACTGATAATGACAAATCTGTTGTTTCTAACTTTAAAAAAGAGTGTGCACAGAGTTTTTAATGTGAGAAATCTGCTCTCCTGCTACAAAAGTGAAGGTGGATTATTTTAAGTGCTTCCCTGTTCAGAAACGAGCAGTAGGTTGCATGATAAGCAAACACCAACTTTAAAGCAATTTAGTCATAAAACAGCCTTAAATTAGCAAATAGGACAGCAGGGGAGGAAAGAGGAGCTATATTCTGATCTGGTACTTCTGTGATCTGCTGCTTGCACTATTTCAGCTCTTAAATATATAATAAAATATTCCAGAGTGGCTCCTCAGACAGATCTCAAAAAATGCTAGATCCAAGCAGGAAAATCTAAAACATCATATAACCAGTCATATAAATACAGAGAGGGGGCTTCGTGGCTGTTCACTAGGAAGGCGTTCTATAATACAGGCCTACAATTTCCATTCTTAGTCCTTCAACTTACTGTATACAGAGAAGAGAGAGAGTGCCATTGCTAAGTTTTAAAAAGGCAGTGGGATTTTGTTTAACTTTCTTTCACTGATCAGGTTCTTTTGTGTTGGCTTGGTGCTTCCCTATTCTGTTGCATGGCTGGATTTTTCACATCCTCCAGTCTGCTCTGCTGCCCTTATGACAAGATGATCCTTCCTGAATCAACGTAATTATGGAGTGGATCCCAGCACCCAGAATTAATTTCATGGTCCGGTATGGCCATCTGCAAATGCACCCAGTGCTTTCCTCTGGACTTTTATTGATTTATTATTCCATTTCTATGGTGCTTTTATTAACTGATTAATTTTGCACTACTCAAGACAGCATGCATAATGCATCCTCCTATTTTCTCCACAACCACAACCCTGTGAGGTGGGTTGGGCTGAGGAGAGTGAAGGGCCCAAAGTCACTCAGCCAGCTTTCATCCCTAAGGGAGAACTGGAACTCGTGTCCCCCGGTTTCTGGTCCAGCACCTTCACCACTGCACCATATTGGCTCTCACTGAAATTGGGTTCAAGGATTTCAGAGCAGATAACGCAAGGCAGGCACGGCTGCCGCTGGTCTCCTTTCCTCTGGTTGCAGCCTGAGTAGGTGGTGATATAGTTCTCCATCTGGCATACTGAAGGAGACTAGATATGGAGGATATGCCAGAAGGCTTGTCCTCCTGCCAGAGCCAGAGCTGTGGGAGGTGGGGTCATGCCGTCCCCCCTCCCTAGGTCCTGAGGACTAGGAGCTTCTGCCCAAGACTTGAAAAAGCTTTGCAGCTTCATGTGATCCACAGAGGGCTATATGCGGGGAGTGGATCGGACATGAGATGTTGAACTGAGCTGGATTTCAAGCTCTTCCTTTGCCAGCTCATTTGCTAGTTTTGAGCAACTGGCCATTGCAGGCTGGGCCATCAGGCCAGGAAACAAGGTGGTTCTAATTGGCAAATTATGTTTCCTGCAGGGTGGTGGTGTATTCTGAGGGATTTGCATCTCCAGATATTTAGATAAGCTGTCCTGGAAGTCAGAAGAGTTGAGGCTTCTGCTGGGAATACCGGACACATGAGGAGCAGTTGCTGACTGTTCTCCTGTAATTACCACATCCATTTTCACCCTCTCTTTCCACTTCTGACTCAGGGGTAACCTTTGATAGCCTTTCCCCTCTGAGTGCAATGGATCATGCTGTCAGGGAAGGGGGCCACTTAAGGTCCTCATTATCAGTTGATAATGAATGCTGGTTCTCTGTTCCCTTCTGCTGGCGCTGAAGCAGCTGGAGAGAACAGGAGGAGGATCGAAATCCTGCGCAGTTCCTCTCCTTGCTGAACACACCCGTTCGAGCAAGGCCAGAGGAAGTTTCGCCTTTCGCCTTGATTCCCTGCTCTGGTGGGATCATCTCTTAATACTTCCTTTAGGGGTTTTTTCCCCCCGGCCTAATATTCTGAGCCATGTCAGGCAGCTGAACTAGCCACTCTTTTGGTTTCCCATAATTCCCCTCCCCTAATGGAGCATTGTGGGACTTAAAGGGTAGCAAGGTATGTTTCTGTTGTATTTAAGGGTGCCTACCTGCACTCACTAGTACTGTAGAAGAAGACTAGCCACTTTCTCCAGGACCATCTGAATACTGGAACAGGTTATACTCTTCAGAGGGAGAGAGGTAAATAGGCAAAGCAATAAAGGCTGGAGTTTAATCTTTTTTATTATTTGTTTTTTTTTCTTATTCATATGTAGATTTTTCATTAGGGTCCTAAAGAGGTTAACAGGGGGAAAAAAGTAAAACTACAAAACAGGAAATTAAATAACCATTCTTCTTTCTTGAAAATGCTTGTGTAAACAATTCGAAATAGCTGGGTGTTAAGTGGTGCAAGGTGCTTCCTTGAGCGCTTGTGAAAGCACAATGGGGGGTGTAAATTGGAAATGTCCTTTGAGATAGGGTTTGTTTGTCTTTGGTGTTTGTCCTCTACCTGGAGTTTTACTTGCTTGCATTTGGGGTTGTAAACTGAGGCATTCAGCAGCAAAGGGAGCCTGGGAAACCGTCAGAATGGCGCTTCCTCGTTGGTTCAGATCCCTGTTAGCTGAATTCACACATTGTGCTAAGCCATGCTTTTGCTAACCAAGATTTGCTGAATAAGCCACCATAGGCCAGGTTTGTCCAGCATGCTAAATCATACACTGTGGTTCATGAACCACAATGACTGGGTTTGCACTGCACGACGTAACAATATGGCCTTGTGCCAGAATAAAATTTTAGTCCAGTAAGAATCTAAGAAGTGACTGTTTCATGGGAAAGTTAAGAGAGTTTCTGATCTGAGTTGGGACTTGAATCCAGATCCTGTTGCTGAAGATGTTCAGTATCAAAGTAACTGGCCAAAGTATCTTTCTGTCTTTGTAGAACAAACTTGAGTTTTTCCAAAGCTCTTACAAAATGTTTCATTCAGCGGGAGCTGCTTTGGTGCCTTCGTTACTAGAATCTGTCATGACAGAAAAGGAAAGAGCTTTCTACGAGCAGGCAGGCTCACTGATTGGTCATGGCAAAAAAGACATGCTAGCGTGCTTTTACTATTTCGCTTGTGTCATTAGCAAACTGGAAGCTAACCTCACCGGTTTGTTTCGTCTCTTAGATCTTCTCTCAAGAATATATCAACCTGCTGCTCTCCATGTATTTCTTTGTCCTTGGGATCCTCGCCCTTTCCCACACCATCAGGTAAAGAAAGAAAAATGAGGAATACGATGTACTGTGAGTGCAAAGATAAAAACAAGTTTGTAATGCCAGGAGATGCAGCAAAACAAAGAAAAGCAGGGCTAGCGTTGTAAAACCAACACAATAGAGCATAAGAGTTAAGGGTGCTGGACTTACTGCCAAGTGAGTCATCCTCATCCTGTAGAGTTTTCTATTCCTTCCACAGCCCCTGTTATACCTTTCTGACTATTCCTCCACTTCCCCACCAGTGACTTCCCAGTGCAGAAAATTCGTCTTTGGGTCAATGAAAGCAAAAACATTTTTGCGGCCTCATCATCTGCAAATAAAAGATGCCCAGCTGATTATTGCACATCAAATTAAAAGTTAAAATACTGGAAGATTCTAAGGTTAATAGTTAACTGCCTTATCAGATGGGAAATGGGCATCCAGCTGGCTCCTCTTAAACGGGAGCCTCTTCTTCATTACCGCAAATGACGATCTTTACATGTGGGTGGATAACATCTGACTAATCCTTAATTGTTTGATGCCAACTTTTCTTTTTAAAAACAAAAGGGTCCTGGCTTCTTAAAAGGCCGGCAAAGTTTTTAAAAGCTTAATTTTGCCCTTCAGTTGCCAAATAAGCTCACATTGGCTTGTTGGGTTCACCAATAGCCGTGCCTCGACAGGCTGAAAATAAAGGATATCTTGCAACGCCTTGTTCATATGATTAGTGAAAACTGTTACAGTATTGGCAGTCCTGGAACAGAATTTGGGGTGCGCAGCCTGGCATCCCCTGCAGGGTCTCACCCAGGCGTGTGTGGGGCTATTGCTGATGCTTCTTGAGAATGTCAAAACTCCTCCAGAAGCAATACTTTTATTAGGCCAACTGAAGGCTTACAGCATCATTGTAAGGGTTCAGATTTCCAAGCTTCTAACTCAGTGTTTCTCAACCTCAGCCACTTTAGGATGTGTGGACTTCAACTCCCAGAATTCCCCAGGCTGGGGAATTCTGGGAGTTGAAGTCCACGCATCCTAAAGTGGCTGAGGTTGAGAAATCCTGTTCTAACTATTTGCTTCTCCTTCAGTTAGCTTTATAAAGATATTGTTTCTGTGGGATTTTGATTTTTTCTTTCAGGCCAACACAGTTGCTCTCGTTGGTTATGCTTCTTAAGACCTTGGCTTCTTCCTGTCTTTTCACCTGTCCTTCCTCTCCCTCCCATCTCATTTCAGCCCCATGATGAACAAATTCTTCCCGGCAAATTTTCCCAATAAGCAGTATCAGCTCCTTTTTACTCAGGGCTCTGGGGAAGCAAAGGAAGGTAAGTCCACCCCCCCTCCCCAGTTTGGCCAAGGGTTGGATAATTTCCTCTGTGAATCTTTGTTTTCTCCCCTGCGCATCTGCTCGTGCGGTGCCATAAGACCAATGCCTTTGTGTGCTGTGTTGGGGTCAACGAGCAATGCCCACAGGTTTGGTGGCCAGCTCCAAATAATGAAGCCGCTGCTGTTGCTGTGTGTTGCAAGAAGTAGCAGCTGGACTGCACCCAACTCAGTGACAATTTGAGGGTTTCTCCAACAGGGGTGGGCCCCCCCAGACAAAAGCTGGGCTTACTAGAGTAGGTAGGCTGGGTGGACCACAAATACATATCCAGAGTTTTGGATCAGCTTGAGAGCGTGCAAGTTGCATGACATGTTTCAGTCCGTAACTGATGATTAAAGGAGTGGGAAAGCATCCAGCGTTCTGGCTGAGTCAAAAAATCAGGTAGCAAGGAGAGTAAGCAGGCAGTACAGAGGCACCTTTGTTTTTAGGAGGAGAAGAAGAGACAAGAGGCTTCTGCAGGACTTTGATTCATTTCAGTATTTCTCCCTCCCATCATCTTCTACTCGAGTCTTTTAACTGCAGTTGCCTGGAATCGGATCTGGGATCTCTGGGGTGCTAATTTCACCCTCCCTTTTGTCTGTGGCCCTTCCCCCTAACGAAGCAGCCGAATACGTGCTTTGCATAGAAAAGGATCCAAATTGGTTCCCTGCCATTTCCAACTGGGCGGGTGGAAAGAGCTTTGCTTTTCCTGGGACTACTGCTAGTCGGAGTAGGCATTTGGATTCAGTGGACGAAAGGCGCGGCTTAATGTAAGGCGGCTGTGTGTATCGATACCAGCGATGTAAAATAAGGGCTCCCTTCGCTGACTCGGAGCCTTGGCTGTGCTACCAGAATGACCGAGCGTTGCCCCTGTGTTGCTTTGCGTTAAAGAAGCTGGTGGCAGTGAAAATGGCTTTGTCTGTTGTTGCAGAGATTGTGAACTATGAGTTTGACACCAAGGACCTTGTCTGCCTGGCCATGAGCAGCATTGTTGGCGTCTGGTACCTGCTGAGGAAGGTATGCGGACCTGCTGGTGAAGCTAGGCAGCCTGATCAGGCTGCAGGCAGGGGATCTGCAGAACCCAAGGGCTGGGTTCCTGTTGGACCAAGGGGCAGGAGTTGGATGAGGACTGCCCTTCTCTTTCCTCCAGCATTGGATTGCCAACAACCTGTTTGGCCTGGCCTTCTCTCTCAACGGGGTGGAGCTGTTGCACTTGAACAACGTCAGCACGGGCTGCATCCTTCTTGGAGGCCTCTTCATCTATGATGTCTTTTGGGTAAGTACCTGCTACTGCAGCATGTTCCCAGGCTCAGCGGATCCTCCAGACAACGTCATGATGGAGGTCTGGTCTGCAGGAGCTTCTCCTGAACCCAGCTACTTGTAGGGGGCTACCTGGATTTGAAAAATCTCAGCCAGTTGGTCTGAAAAAAAGCAGAAATTGGTTGATTTGGAGTGGGCAAAGTTTTTGTTGGTGGCCAAAGGGGAGGAGTGGGCTGAGAACCTGGGAGCCATGGATGCAAGAGGACAGTGTGTGAGGACTTACTTCCACACTTGTAGGCTGGTGTAGCTCATCCTCTGGCACAGGGTTCCTCACCCTCAGCAACTTGAATATGGGTGGACTTCAACTCCCAGAATGGCTGGCTGGGGAATTCGGGGAGTTGAAGTCCACCCATCTTAAAGTTGCTGAGATTAAGGAACCCTGCTCTGGCACATTCATTGTTCTACTGAGCCTTCGCAAGATGTCATGTTAAAGACTCTAGAAGCTCAAGTATGGAAGAAATGGAAGCTGTTGTAATATTCCTGTACTTTGTGGACTGCTGCCTGCCCTTCACTCCTCTTCTTCATGCTGCTTTCCTCTTCCCTAGGTCTTCGGCACCAACGTGATGGTGACTGTAGCAAAGTCATTTGAAGCCCCTATCAAATGTGAGTATCTGGCTTTGAGCTTCAGAAGCAGTAAGGATAGTTCACTCTAACCTGGTTGGAGTCTGAATGGCAGCTTTGTGCCAGTGGGTAGCCACTCCCCAACTAGGTGCCTTGCAGATGTTTTGGGCAGCAACTCCCATGGTTGTGGAATTTCAGAGTCCCAAGGCGTCTGGGAAGGTAGGTTGTGGAAACCCAGCCAGATTATCTCATCTTTTGAACTGTCTAGTACATTCAAGGTCACCATAGTTCCATTCCTATTCCTCAGGGAGGTAGGCAGAGTTGGGTTTGACCTATTCCATTTGATGCGATCAACAGGATTCCCAATGGTTTCCGATAGAGGAAGATGTGGGAAGGAAGACTGGTTCCTCCATGGGTGGAGGCTGAGAAGCTCCTTTTAGGATCCTCCACTGACATGCTTCTTGGGGACATAGCCAAGAAGTTGGTTTGGAAGATTTGGGTGAACAGAATGTTGCTCCCTCACCAGAGAGCTGGTGAGCCAGCCATTTGTCTTGCATTAGCAACAGTCCAGGTGTTGGTCTTCACCTTCTGAGTCCAGCCTGATCTTGGTGCCTCTCTTGGAATGGACCTTTCCAGCCAAAGGTCTTTCCAGCCAAGGTGCTCGGTGGAAACAAAGTTGATCTGTCTTCATTTATGGAAGCCAATTCTGGAGAGCTACAGCGCATCGTTCCTGTTCCTCATGTCTGGCCTTTAAAAGGGGGGTACTTGTCCCCGGAGGTGCTCAACTTTTCTACGGCTAAAGTCCACTCTGAGCCCTTTGGGGTGAGGCCAGAGAACATAACTGGGCCATCGAGGACAAATCTGATGTAATATTCAATGCAGAATGATTAAAAAGAGGCTCCTGCACCTGAAATTGGCATAACATTTGGGACAGCCTTTGGATTCTTCAGTCTCTCCTCACAATGACCGCCCCATTTCTCCTCCTGTTCCTCTCCTTTTCCTGCAGTGGTTTTCCCCCAAGATCTGCTGGAGAAAGGCCTGGAAGCCGACAACTTTGCCATGCTGGGCCTGGGAGACATCGTCATCCCCGGTAAGGCAAATGCTGAAGCGTTATTGCAAGCATTGTAAAACCTGATTGTGCAGGTTAGAAGTGGACAGCATGGTGACGCTTTTGTGTTTTTTTGTGAAAAATAACAGGAGGGAGGGAGGTAGAGAGAGTTATAACTTTTGTGCAGGGGTTCCCTGAGACCTGACTATTTTTTCAAGAATTCCTCCAGGGTAAAAAGGTTGAGAAAGCTGGTCCAGGGAATTTCGCCCCCCCCCGTGGTATTTGTAGCCACCAGGGGGAGCTGTGGGCCTGCAGCTTCATTGGAACGGAAATCCAGCTGGCTGGCTGGCAAGGAGGGCATTTAGAGGTGGGCAAATGTTAGCTTAGTGGTGACTTTATACTTATTCCTCTCCCTCCAGGAATCTTCATTGCTCTCCTGTTGCGCTTTGATATCAGGTAAATCCTCTGCAGCAACCTACGGGGCTGCCTGCTTTTGAAAAATTAGGCAATGATGGGGGAGAGAGTGGGAAAGACTGGTTTCCTCTGGCCGCCTCTCCACCTGTTGGATTGCTTTCCTAACTCCCTTGGCTTGTGGGTCTGCACCCGGGTTCTGGACTGCCCTAATGCCCCCACTTGTTGCTTGTCATCACAGCCTGAAGAAGAACACGCATACGTACTTCTACACCAGTTTTGTGGCGTACATTTTTGGGCTGAGCCTCACCATCTTCATCATGCATGTCTTCAAACACGCTCAGGTGAGCTTCCTGGACCAGCCCCCAGTGTCTGTATGAGGTCAGTGGGTTGCGAGAAGAAAACCTGCCTTGGAAATCCCATCTGGCCATGCACCCTTCCTGGGCTGTGGTGTTGACCTGGCAGCTTTCTGAAGATTTGTCAGGGCTTCCAGCAGCAGCTGATTGTGCTGATGGCCCATTTAGCTGGAAGCTCCTCAGGTCCAGACGAGCCAGCTGGAGCCTGGTAGACGTAATGTTCTTGCTGTCCAAGTGTGTGCAGGCGGATGCTCTTCTGAGTTCCAGCAGCAGCAGAAGCGGGGGGGAGTAACAGGCCTTCTGCCCATCAAGAGCCCTTGGCCAGCAAAGCCCAGGCACCATCCACATCTTACTTCATATTTTTAATTGATTTTATTTTTTAAAAAAATACAATAGGGATTAAAGAAAATTATTTCATTTTTAAATAAGCATTCATGTTAACTTTCCTAGCTAAAGGGCATCTTTCTCCAGCCCGGAGTAACAGGCCTTCTGCCCATCAAGAGCCCTTGGCCAGCAAAGCCCAGGCACCATCCACATCTTACTTCATATTTTTAATTGATTTTATTTTTTAAAAAAATACAATAGGGATTAAAGAAAATTATTTCATTTTTAAATAAGCATTCATGTTAACTTTCCTAGCTAAAGGGCATCTTTCTCCAGCCCGGTGCGTCAGGCTGCAGAATCTAGGGATTCTCAGCCGCCTTGGCTGTGGCCGTGCTGTCTCGCGACAATGACAGTGGGGCACCTGAGGGCACCGGGTTGGAGAAGGCTTTCCACTGGCGACAGCGAGAAGGCCATTAGCAACTCCGCTGCTGTGAACGAGTGGTGCATCTGAGCAGGTCCAGGCTGGACCCTGATGCCATCCGGTCTGTCTCCCTCATTCTGACACTCCCCCTCGGTCTCCCTCTCTCAGCCAGCTCTGCTGTACCTGGTTCCAGCTTGCATCGGCTTCCCTCTTCTGGTGGCCTTGGCCAAGGGAGAAGTGACGGACATGTTCAGGTAAGTCAGTTTGCATGATGGGCGGCAGCAGGGTAGCCGAGGCCAATCCAGGAGGGGAAGAGGGGCTGAGATTATCATCCCCATCCCCAGTAGTCTACAGAAGTGGTAGGCAGCCTTCTCTCCGTGGGCTGGGGGCTGCTCCCACAGAACATGGACTGGGTTCAAAAGGCAGATACCTTCAGTGCAGTGCTGGAAACCTGACGGTCAGCCCTAGGAGATCTTGCACGTGAGGTTGTTTGGAGCAGGAGGGGAGTCTTCCAAAAGAGAGAAGCCCCTTTTAAAATACACACATAGCCAGGTGAGCCAAATCTAGGGCCCATCTAGTGGCACTCGAGAACTTCTGCATCCCGGCGTCTTCCTCCCCTCCGCCTGAGTCGGCTGAAATCACAGAGGGCGTTCAGGTGCCTTCTGCTTTATCCTTGAACCGCTGAATAAGCCATAGGCCCTGTTCATACATCACACTCACCCAGCTTAATCATGGGTTTACTCAACCCAATTTTCTGGGCTCCCCCAATTCACCAGGCATCAATTAGTATAGATGTAGTTGGCGAGGTTGTGCTTCAGTGCTTTGCGTGTATCCAAGGTGATTCACACGCCGTGCTGAGCCAGTATTCCTGGTTCATGAACTCCAGTGACTGAGAATATACGGCAAACACGGACTGCAGCAGACAGGTCATTATGGTCTAATGCAGTGTGCAAACCAGCCATACGTGTGCAAACCAGCCAAACCAGCCATACGTGTGCAAACCAGCCAAACAGAAATGCTGTTCTCTGCCTGGTGCAGCTCCTCCGAATTGCCTTTTCTTTTTCATTTTTCTGCATGGCATAGCTCCTGCTAACCAATGTTATTACAAGGCTGCTGGCACTCTCTGCGTCTGAGTAAGGGAGCTGCAAAAGCATCTGCCTTGTGATAAAACTGGTTAGTCGGAAAAGGGAGGCTCCTGATCTTCTGCCACCGTGGACTAAGCCAGCACTCCTCCCACAGGGTCTACTATGCATTTGACTGTAGGATGGTTTTCTCAACCAGCTTCTCCCCAGATGCGTTCTCCTGTAAGTCTCGTCACCTCTGGCCAGGTTTCTTCGCTTGGGCCTGATTTCAGGCCTTTACGAAAGAGCCCAGGTGGACTCAAATCAAATCAGGAGCTGCCTGGTTCAAATGGGGGCAGAATTTGCCCCTACATTTGTGCCTCCCAGTGATTGCTGTGGAAAAACCAGAAATGGTTGTGCTCTCTGCTATGGAGAAAAGTGGACACCTGGCAGAACACCTCAGAGGGAATTAAGCCTCTTCTGTCTCAAAAAATGGGGCCAGAGGGACTGGATTCAGGCTCTTTTAAATCCCCTTTTTTAAAGTGTCCCTATAACTTTGGTTGTGTTCTGTGAGCTTGCTTTTTCATTTGCAAAAAAAATCCAAGCTGAGAGGAAACCCCACAGCCCCATGCTAACCCTGAGCTACATATATTCTCCATAATTGCCATCTGTAACTGTCTTTGGGCAGAATTAAATGACATTTGCAAGCTAAGGAGTAATGCACCAATTCTGCCCGTAGAAGGTCCTCTCCTTGGGAACTTTCCCAGTGATTTGGAGATTCTGTTCCATCTCCTCCTCCTGGCATTTTGCACAGCCACAACTCATCCTGTCCTGGGTATTCCTGCTGGAGAATAATGGTGATAATGCCCTTTGATCCAACGTTGTGGGAGTGCCTTTGACCATGTACAGAAGGCTGTCCCCTCACTACTGAATTACAGCAGGCTTTCACACACCTATTTGTACTTATTGAATCCTCACCTGCCTTTATCCAACAGCAGGGCTGTGAACAATGTAATCTATATAACAGTGAAAATCCTCATAAAGTTACATATCACGGCAAGTCTGAGGGAGCAGGTTAAAGTGCTCAGGTGTTTGGAAAAGTGTTACTGTGATCCTGAAGCTGTTGCAGGATTGTCAGTTGTACCTGCAGCTGAAGGATCTTCTGTGAACTTAGGGGAGAAGAGTGTTGGTGTAAATACAATAAGTGATGGGGTCTGGCTGGCTGAAGCTGAGCAGCTGGCATCAAGGGTGTTGGGGTAGGAAGGAAGGGAACTCTGCATCTGAGGGGTGACCTGGATTGTGGCAAAGGACTTCACTGTTGAACAACTAAAAGTAGGAGAGGAAGAGGCCTGCAGACGTTATATCTGCTGTCTCCCTGTCACCATGCAGAGAGCAAGGAAAATGATTTTGAAGAAATATGAAGGCACCGTTCCCTAGGCAGAAGGGGCTGAAACATTCTTTTTAAGTCCAGAAAGGGATAACATTCAGAAAAGGTTCAAGTAGACACTCCCCTAATTCACTAGAGCAGTGTTTCTCAACTTTAGCAACTTTAAGATAGGTGGACTTCATGCTGGCTGGGGAATTCTGGGAGCTGAAGTCCACCTATCTTAAAGTGGCCAAAGTTGAGAAACACTGCACTAAAGAAGGGGGAAGAAGTCCAGTACAATCAGATTTGCAAGATTCTGTGTTATAGCCAGTCTCAGTAAAAGTAGTTTTAGCCTTCCTGTGGAGTTGGTTTTCTGGTCTGGTCTATCTTGTGGGGCCGACATTTCCTGATCCGTGCATGGAAGAGTTGCTGCAGGAACGACTGTTCCTGGTCCGGCTCGACTGCTCTCAGTCCTGTTTGAGGATCACCAGGAGCTACGTAGCACCAGGACTTCTGATGGCCCACTGTCCTCCTTTCACGTCCCCCCATAGAGAATTTCTTTCCCTCTGTGGACAGACTCTGCCAGCGTTTTACATTTTCTTTGCCAAGGCTGGCGGGTGAAGCTCGTCAGAATTCACAGCAGGGCGCCACTCCAACATCTCAGTGTGGCGATCTGGGGAAGCGGGCTGGCTTGGTCAGTGGAAATGGGCTTGCTTGCATCTATGAGTCCTGTGTAATTCCAATCCAGGGGCTCCTAGGGCGTTCACAGGCTTGTGTCCTTGAGGAGAAGGAGAAGTGTTGCCCAAGAGATGTCGGAAGTGCTGTGATGGTTGGATGGGGAGGGTGAGAGCAGGGCACAACACTCCCCACTTTGGAACTTGTGGCAGGGGCTTCGTGGCTTCCTCCAAGGTAGCCCTGAGGCACAGCGAGCTCCTGCGAGTGCTAACACTTAAAAAAAAAACTATTTAAAAAGGCCTTGATGTCTTCAAATGGCTTCATTCAGCTAGGCTTAATTATATCAGCCCAGCTTTTCCCTGCCCTCCAACCCTGCTTTTAGTAAAGCCTTTTCTGATTACGAGATCCAAAAATGTTGAAAGCATGCAGTTTGGTGGGGACCTGCACTTCTCCTAAAGACGTAGCCTAGTAATTACTGTTTCCTGGAGGCTTCTGAGCCTCCTCCAAAGCTTGGAGGGGGGAGAATCAGGAATTGCAAATCCATTCGCCCAGTGCTCCTACTCCCAAGTTTTCCTGCAAACCAGTGGATCTGGAGGGAGATGGCCAGTGTCCCAGGAGGGCTCTTGCTCTGGAGGGATGCTTGGCTCCAGAAAGTTCCAACAGAAGAGAATCTCTGTAGCTCAGGGTTGAGCTATGGAGTCCTTGGCGCTCTCTGAGCTTGGTGGTTTCATTACCCAACTAGGGAACACCATCAGTGCTACTCCAGAAAGTTCACCTACGTGTCCCAGTACCCTCCGTGCTGCCCATCTTCATACTTAGCAGATAAGCTGATCCTGAAAGAGTTACTCACAGAGGAGTAACTGGTCCCTGTCATCAGAGGCCCTTCCGCCTTGCCTGAAGTATCAGCTGAGGATCTCCGAGTCCTGGAACCCACACTTGGTCTTTACGCATTGCCCAAAGAAAGCGGCTTCTTTTTAAGAGCGTTTGGCGTCTGTTGAGTTACGTCCACCAGCAAGGCTACACTCAGAGGGTCTTTCTGATGTTCTTTGATGCTGGACTTGGCTTTGTGAGTGGATGGGAACTGGTCCCCCCAGGTGCAGCCTTTGAATTCTACTCTGAAATTCTCCCCCCTCCTGCCCCAGCTGCTCTTGTTTCCTCTCTGCTCCATGGACATTCCCGTCCTGTCCATACTGCAACATCTGACCTGTGGCTTTCTCCCTCCAAAGGAGCAAGATGGCAGACAGGGAGTCACCTAAGTGGGGAGGGATCTTTGCAAGGGACAAAAGTGTCAGCCTGCAGGGCTTCACGATCCAGGGTTAGCTCTTTCCCAGGTGGAGAGCTAGTAGAGCTGCCCCATAGGACCTCTCTCAGTCAGGGGCAGCTCCTAGGAACTGTATGGAGATGTCCTCCTGGATATGCTTGCCCTTGCCTTCTGTTTGTGGCGGGTTTTAGCCTGCACCCATGGGTTTTGTGGTGGCTCCCATCCCTGTGCTAATACTTCCAACCCTGCTTAGCTTCTCTGCCCAGATAAGGCAAGCCAAGAGCTCTTCCGGTCTCGACACAAGGCTGGTTACCCCACATTCTCCACACTGGCATTTTATGCTCTCCACAAGGGAAGCCCTGGAGTCAGGAAGGGAGGCTGAGGTGGGAAATGGATCAGGGCAGCCTTGGGTTACCCCGGCAGGCTATATCAGGCCTTGGGTGCTTCGCCACATCTCTCCTTAGTGGGCTGCCAGAGCCGGCCATCCTTTCCGCCCCATTGGACAGACTTTCCCCACTCTTATCGCCTGTGCTGTGTCTCTCTGGGTAGCCGTGGAAGCAGCTGAGGAGGGAAATCGGGCAGCTCTGCCAGCTCGTGTGTGCAGCTCCACCATTCCTAAGCTTCTCTTCTCTTCTGCCCCTTCCTCTCCCACCGTGTCTCTCTCTGTCTCTCCCCCCTCCCCGCCACCCCTCTCTCTCCTGCAGCTACGAATCTTCTGCTGAAATCTTGCCCCATACCCCGCGGCTCACCCATTTCCCTAACGTCTCCGGGTCTCCATCCAGCCTGGCTGACTCCATGCAGCAGACCCTGTCCTGTTCCCACAGACGCCGGCAGCAGAGTCCCAGCACCATGTAGCCCCCCCAAGGCAAGGCCCTGCCTGCCTGTGTGACCCTGGCCAGGTAGGGGGAGACGCAAGTGCCCCTTCGGAGCGGGGAGGGCCTGGGGGCGCCACACGGGCCACTTGTAGATAGGAAGTGCTTCTGAATTCTAGTGAAAGGTGCGTAGGGAGCATATCCGGACCAGTGTACGTCATGGAAAGCCAAGCTTCTGATTTACAGTGAGCAGGTAAATCCGTACCAAATGTTTGGGGAACTCTGGACGTTCCGCTCTTCTGCAAGATCTCGCCAGGCCAGTCTTGCTGGAGGTGACCCACCAGATTTCTAGACGTAAATCCCCCAGTGTGGAAAGCATTTCATGGTATTCTGGGTGTGATGCTCTGTGCTTGGTGGAGATCGGTATCCATGGGGTCTGGAGGAAGAACAGAATGCTTTGGAGTTCCTCAGAAGGTTCTCCTCCACCAGCACCTATTAGCAAGAGCCCAGGTCTACCAAGTAGCTGCAGGGCTGGTGGAACAACTCCCGGCTGGAGCCAGCCAAGGAAGATGGTTTTGAAAATGTGTACTTTTTTTTTTTAAATGAGAAATGGATTTGCAGCACAGCATGCAAGTTAGCGGTGGAGTGGGGTCATCTGGAGAAGTTTCAAAGAGCAGTGAAGGGGATCAGGGAACTAGAAACTGAGTCCTGTGAAGAGAGATGGAAGGTGTGCGGAGGGACCATGGCGAGGGGGCTCCCCTTCCTGTAGTTGTTCCAATTAAGGTCCAACACTTGCCTGCCAGGATGCTTTCATTTGGATTCCTACACTGAGTAGGGGTCAGACTAAGTGGCCTCAGTGGCCCCTTCCAGCTTTGGGATTCTGCTATTAGCAAAATATTGGAGTAGGTGCTGTAGACACGCAGCATTCTTAGTGCCCCGGGTACTAAATTAACTCCTCTGTTGCATTGTGCCTCAAACCCTAAACTAACCAAACAGGGCTGGGGCTCTACAATATATTAAATTGCAAATGATAATGATAATAACAATCAAGGAAAACCTTAATCAGGCTATTGATTCCAGTGTTTCTTTAGGAATGTATATAGCTTCAGCAAAATAACACTGGGCCGCTCGCCGTTCAGAACAATAAGCGTTGAAAATAGACATCATAAAGACAGAATGCAAAATACTGGGGCACCTCGCATATCATCCTCAATTACAAAATTGCCTGGTTATTGTAAGAATACATCTGCTGAGTCTTTAGCTGACTTGATTAAAGTAGGTGTGTCAGTGTTTCTCAACCTTGGCAGCTTGAAGATGGGTGGACTTCAACTCCCAGAATTCCCCAGCCAGCATGGCTGGCTGGGGAATTCTGGCAGTTGAAGTCCACCCATCTTCAAGTTGCCAAGGTTGAGAAACACTGAGCTATGTGCTGTGGTGAAAGAGACGGACCTTGGCTGCTGGGCTTCTGTTCAGTGGCTCACCTCTGAGTAGGAGGTGCCCGTTGGAGCCTGGGGCTCAAAGGTCTGTTGGGTGGCTGGGGATAAAGCCATATCCCCGGTTGATAAGCTTCTGAAAAACAGTTATTCAGTCCTGGTAGGGCAAGTAATGCTTTGCAATGAGAGGGCTGGCCGGTGTGGAGCTGAGCGGCCTGGGGGGAGAAGCCCCCTTTGCAACTTCAGGATCATCTGCTCTCAAAAGAGGAGAAACGTCCGTCTGTCCTTCAGCCTGGGAGGAAGGAGGGCACGTGTTGAAAAAGGGAGCCTCCCCCCGTTTGCTCAGCTTCTTTACCCCCTTCCTCTCGCTGAGAGGTTCTTGCAGGGTCTCCCCTGCTGGGGGGCCGGTCTTTCTGGGGAAAGTCGCCCTCCTGCTGGATGGGTGCTTTGCAAGAGGTATTCCCGTTGGTGGGGCTTGGTCAAGAGAGCCTCCCAGCCAACGGCACCCTGAACCCGCTTGGCGCGCGCACTCTCACACTGATTTGTCTTGGGTGCTCTGGGAGTGTGGCTCTGCCAAAGTGGGCTTGGCCAGCCCCCCGAGATTCAAGAGAATCCTCACGGGCAGATGCAACACATTGCTCGGTTTTGCTCCTTGCCATCTGGCCAAGAGGACCGGTCCCTCCCCATTGGCTTCTAGTCCTTGCCCCTGCCTTCCCCAGCTCCAAAAAGATGGCAAGGAAGGGGTTCCTCTCAGCCAATTACCCCCTCCATAGGCTGCTGCTCCAGTTTGAGATAGGCACTGCTGAAGGGGGGGGGGGGGCGCCTGCTTTCTGAGGCCTTGTGATTGAAATGCCACGGTGAAAATTTTACCCTGAAGGGCTGGAGTTTGGATGGAACGTCCCCTTCCTGCGTGGAAAGAGGCCGTGCCAAGAAAGAAGCTTTCCGTAAGAATCCTGGATGCGTGGGAAACTGAACCTCGAGGCCAGAAAGCGGGAGTCCCGTAGCCCCTTTTCCGACTTACAGCAACCAGTTTCATTTAAAAGCAGAAGCTTTCGTGAGCTGCAGCAGATTTCACCAGGTTCTCACCAACGTTGATAGCTTTCGATAAAACTGGTTGGTTGGAAAAGAGGCTGCCGGACCCTCCTGATTTTTTGCCACCATAGACAACAGCTCCCCCCCAATAATGTCTGCAAAGTTGTTGGCAATTGTAGCGTGGCGGGGGGGTGATTGTAAGGGAGGGGTCGCTGCAGCAGTCAGGAAGTCGAATTCTGTCTCTGGTCCTGCCTTGTGTCTTGAGGGGGGGTTGCAACTGCCAGCTGGTCTTCCCCAGCTCCTCGGGGGTTCGGTGTCCCAAGTCGGAGCTGAATGCCAGGCCTCCCTCTGGATCCTGTTGGGGAAGGGCGGTTGGATGGAGACCCTCTAGGTGCGAGCCAGGTTCACCCTTTTTTCCTTCCTCCCCAGCTACGAGGAGAACACTGCCCCGAAGGAGGCGAAGGGAGACCCCACGGAAGAGAAGACAGATACAGACCAGGAGAAGAAAGAGAAATGACCGTGGGCGTTTTGGCCAGGCTGGGCTTCATCTGCTCCCCCGACCCTCCCCCATCGCAAGTGATTTTCATTTTTTCCCAAGCCAACTGGATGGCATCACAGCCGTACGTGGGGTGCGCGTGTGTGTATGTGTGCGTCTGTCTGTCTGTCTGGAGTGCTTGGGGCACGGGAGGCA